GCTCCCCTCAGCAGTGTACTTCATCGATCTGCCTGTTCTGCTTCCCGCTCTGTCTCTGTGAATCCTCTCACCCTCCGCATCTCTGGCCTGTACCCCAGTTCTGTATGAATAAATAAATAAATCTTTAAAAAAAAAATTGCCTTTTCTTTTGTAGCCTTAGTTTCCTGTTACATAAAGCGGGCATGATAATAATCCCACCTACCTCATGTGTTGTTATAGTGAATTGAATGAAATTATTTATATATAGATTAAATACAGAATTTTTTATAATAGGTGTTATGTTGGTTGTCATTAGTGCTCATTATTAAGAGAGCAATTGCTGTGAAATTGTTCTTTTCCCTAGAAACTGTTAGATGTCATGTTAACAACAAAGATTAAATGACCTTTCTGCTTTATTAACAGAGTTGAAACTGTGGGACAAGCAGACAGAAGAGACAGTATAGGAGTCTGTGCAGAGAAACAGAATGGGTATGACTCTCTGCAGCGGGATCAAGCAGTCTGCATTAGTACAAATGGTAAGTGGTAAGTAACTGTCATTCTCTGCGCCAGACATGAATGACTGTAGTAAGACATGAATACATTCCAGGATTTCACACTTATAGCCAGGGTCTAATGGCATGCTCACGTGGTACTGTGCACCAGGCATTGTCCTGCTTCCTTTACAAGTAATACATCATTTAGTCCTTTTAACAACTCTGTGAAAGAGGACGAGCACTATATACATTTTATAAATGATAAAAGCTGAGCCACAGAGAGGTTGAGTGACTGGCTTAAACTCATATAAATTGAGGTGCTGAATTGACTTTGCAGTAGACAGTTGCAAACTCTGTGCTCCCTAGATCATCTGAATTCAATATGGATTATCTGTCATGTTCTTTGGTCTACTATTCTCCACTATGCATACTTTTAAAACTCACTGCCAAGAGGTGTTAATATTTTGGACTGCAGGTCAAGCAGTAGGTAGAAGATTCATATTTATTCCATGTTAAACAATGTTGCTCTTCCACAAATTGTAATTTTGTAATGAAGTCATTTCATTTGATGCTTTCCATATCAAAAACTCAAGACTACATATAGTCTATTGTAAAAGAAGAATGCTGGACCAGGACTTTATAGTCTTGACTGAAATCTTAACTTTCTCTTCTGCTTTAGGATTGCAGGTAAATTAACAATAAATTATGTGTATTATCTTTACCCAGTTGGCATTCCAAATGTTTTCTTTATCTGAATTAGGGAGTTAGCTGTGTTATTAATGATGAAGGATGTTTTCAATTGTTGTTTATTGCACACATGTAAATGACTCTTGACCTTAATGTCTTAGGTGCAGTTTTTGTAAATGGAAAAGAAATGACTAATCAGTTGCCTGCAGTTACTTCTGGGTCAACTGTCACATTTGACATTGAAGCTGTTAACCTCGGATCCACCAATAATAACGAAGGCGGAAACTTCAAACTTCGAGTAACTATTAGCTCAAGTAACAGAGAAGTGGTTTTTGATTGGTTACTAGATCAATCTTGTGGTTCTCTTTACTTTGGTTGCTCATTTTTCTATCCTGGGTGGAAAGTGTTGGTGTTCTAAATTTTTGGTTGCTGGCTTTGGTTTGTAGGATTTCAATTTAGCTGTCCTCAGCCTAGTTTTGTTGTAACTGATTAAAAAAATCATTGGATTCATCTCTCAGTTAAGCCATCAGAAAATGGAAAATGCTTACTGGATTTATTTTGAAATATTGTAATGAAAGAGATTTTAAGATTGTGGAAAAAACCATAATATAGCCAATTTTCACCTTTAGCATAATTAATTGAAACATGACATCATGACATCACAATTCAAATCAATTTGGCTTTAAAAGTATGAAGAACTATCAAAAGGCCTGTATACCCTTTTTAAACTTAGAAAAACTGAAAATGTAGTATTTTATTAAATCTCCATCTACTAAGGATCAAATCCATGTTAGACTTTAGAATGGAGTAACAGGAATAGACCAGATAGAAGCCAGAGTTCTGTAAAATGCATTCACTTGTGTGTTCTCCACACGAGTGTGGAATTTGCTCTCTATGTTCAGGTATTTGTAAACAGTATTGGATTTTTCTCATGTTCAGTAATCTTTAAATCTCAAAATCATGACAATTTTTACATTTTTAAGTTACTGAACAAGTATCTACAATAGACACAATATTTTCTTTTCTTGCTAGTCAATTCACGATAGCTAGAGGATTTTTACAGGGTAAAACTACTTGCAGAAGTAGTAAGTGCAGCAGTGTTAGCTAGTTCACGTATGTAAATGCACATGTGCATGTCCTGTCTCGGTGATCCACCTCGGTCTTCATAAGGGATGAGCTGCAGTCTAGTTTAATGAAGTTCTATAAATGGTCTCTTGCTAGACCAAACAAATATAGGGTGAATACTTGACCTATTTTTGGGAAATAAATTTGTTTAAAATATTTATTTGAAGGCCTTACTTAGTATGTAAAAATGATCTTAACTTGCTATACCAGCTTACAGATTTTCTTTTTCTAATGTGAATTTCTTTTTCATTTTTACCAGTAGCAAAGTAGAAAAGCAAGTTGGATATTTTTGTAAAATAATTTATTTGGGGATTCAAATTCCCTGTTAGACAATCATGACCATTCCCCCTTGCCTTTTTATGTGTAAGTTGTCTTTCACTTACTTGGTGATTGTGAAGATGTGCTGGAATGTAGATGCCTTGTCTACCCGTCTGAAACAAAATAAAAAGCTGAACGTTAAATTGTGTTTTATTTTTTTCTATAAGGTTAAATGAATCTAACTTCAGTCTTTTAAGTCAAGACAAAGGATTTTTTTTGTGGCTCTGCTCATCTTAATTGATATTATAACTTGTGAGAAGTTATATTTTCTTTATAGTCTGTTTGACATATAATGGTGCACAATAAATGTTGATTTGAATGTAGGTGATTATTTTCCCTAGAACATTTTCATTCCATTTCCTTCATTCAGCAAAATTAAAAAATTTTCTTATTCTCCATAGGAGGATGACATCTTAAATTTATACCTTTAGAATATATCTTTTCATGGAAGTGACAAGCCTAATTCAAATTTAGAGGAGTGGATTTGTAATATTTATTTCAATACTGATTTTGGGGAATGATTTCATATTTAAATACTGATTTCTTTTGAATGGTAAACTGAAGATTTTGTTAAACTTAATTCATCCTGTTTAAACAGATAAAGTAATAAGCTCACACTCAAATTCATGTGCTTGGAGGAGGGACAAGAGAATTTAGGTGTTGGTATGACAAGAATTGATACTTACTGGACTCCTGTGGGTCAGGCACAATGCTATATTGTGAAAGTACACAATGATTTAATTCATATAAACCAGTGTTATTTCTACTTTACAAATGAATAAATTTCGACCCAAGAGATGTAAACTCATTTTTCTAGTAACTAGTCTAGTGAGGACTTCTAGCCCAGATGTTTCTCTTCTAGCCCAGTTCCTGGGAAAAGCCCCAGATTCTGATGGTAACTGGCAATAGAGATAACTGTTATTCTGATGGAGACCATAAGTATGAAGTAAAGGTTGGCAAGACTATGCTTCCTCCAAAGGTTCTAGAATTTTGGTGGCTTCAGGCATTCCTTGACCTAATTCCAGTCTCTGAATCTGTCTTCACATTGCCTTCGACTTAGAACACAGACTCTTTTTCTAAATAAGGTCAGTATCTCAAGTTCCTGGATGTGGGTATATCTTTTTGTGGGCCATCATTCAACCCATTATGAGGTGGTTGGCTAAATGTCTCTTGCTAGGCTTTCTTGGTCTTTTGACTTGAGAAAGAAGAGTTTTATTGGGGCTTTTTTGGTCTGTGTTGGCATATCCAGATTGTCAGCTATTCAGTCTTAAATCTGGGATATAGAAGACTAAAAAACCCAAGGCCTCCCCACTGTGTCTTTCCTGGGTTGTGAGGTCTGTAGCCAGTCAGTAATCTTTCTGAGCCTTCTTGTGTACTGTTTTGTATGTATTTCCCAGGGTTTCTAGTTATAAGACTAGAGAAATAAGCTATTCCATTTCCTGAGAAGCATACATTCTGAAGATACAAATATCAAAGTGTAAAAAATAGAAAAGATAGAAAAGTAAGTACAGGGCCCTCCCTGGTGGTGCAGCAGGTTAAAGCACAGCACTATGGGGGCTATCAGCAGCCACTGCAGCACAAGTTTGATTCCTGGCCAGGGAGGAGACCCTGGTATGGCAGACCTCTCCTGTCCTGCCCACTGCTCCCCTCAACAATGTACTTCAATCTTCCTGTTCTGCTTCCCATTCTGTCTCTGGTGAAGCCTCTCACCCCCACACCTGTGCCTCAGTTCTTGTATGCATAAATACATCTTGAAAGAAAATGTTAAGTACAGCTTAGTAGAGTAAGAAAATGTCATCAGTGCATCATGAAGGTCTTCATTCTTTAAAGTCTTCACTCTGAGTAAGCTATGGAGGAAGTGGAGGAAGCTTAAATTAGCATATAAATGGACTGTAGTCCAAGCTTCTGTTCAAGGATCAGCAAGATATTTTACTCAGCTCAAACCCAACATTACATCACCTTGTTTCCAGTGTTCCATGTCATCTTTCTAGGTGATTCCTTTATTTTCTAAACTTACTCAGAAAGGGTGGCCAAGTCTTTCGTGAAGTCTGAAAATCTATTCTTATACTTTTTTTTTTTAAAGATTATTTATGCATATAAGAACCCTTACTGGTCTTTAGGTCAAAATAATTTCATTTCAACGAAGGAAAAAACCAGGGCTCCTTAGTGGCACAGGGGTTAAAGTTAAAGTCTCAGCATTATCAAACTATTGCCAGGAACTTCAGTATGAGTTTGACCCCTGGCCCCGGAGGTGACCCACCCAGCACAGCAGACCTCTCCTGTCTCATCCATTGTTCCCCTCAGCAGTGTATTTCAGTGGATCTGCCTGTCCTGCTCCCTACTCTACCTGTTGAATCCTTTCATCCTGTAATATTGGACTACAATCAGTTCTTTGCATAAATAAATCTTCATGGAAAAAAAAAAAACTCCACAACCAAAGATGGGTATCTGTTAGCTTAACTAATACTGACACTAATTTCTTATTAGTGTAAATGAGTATACTTTTTCTGGATTGTTACCAAGACAGTATTTTTGTGCACACTAACAATGCATATAAAAAAAAAAAAAACAACCAGAATACAGCTTTTATATTATTGAACTTTATGTACAAAATCATTTGATTTCAAATAAACATTTAATGTAAAAACAAACGTTCTTTTAAACTGAATTTTCTTTACATCTATTGTACCATTCAAATGCTTTATCATCTTACATGATTTCTTCAAAATCTTTTATCAAGGGTACATATAGAAAAGCATTTTTTTTTATAAATAGAAACAAAGGGATTTTTTCAGCTTTTATTATAAGATGACATAAAAAGTTTACTCAACAGAAGTAATTTCATTACTATTTGGGGGAGGGAATCACCAACTTTTTGTGCAAACAATGCTAGCCTTCTTTTAAGCATTAAGAGCATAACTGCTTAAGAAATGACATAAGCAATAATTCTACACTACATCTCCCCTAAAATAATCTATTTTTTTTATTTTTTATTTTTTATTTTTTTTTACAAATGTGCACAGCTTTAGCAAATTAAAGCCCGAGAGAAATGCTCGAGATCCACTATCCAAAGGCATGATCAGAGTTTGTTGTAACTCATCATTTGGAGAGCTTACTAATCAAGGAGTCTGTAATGAAAGCTGCAGTTTCCCTCTTTCCTATTTTTAAACACAAAAATCAATGACTAAGAACTTAATACTGGATGACAAATCACATCCACACTATTAGTTAAATAGCCTCACAGTTAAACACATCTTAAAGACCAATCAAATCAGTATTTACAATTTATAAATTTCTGAAAACACCATTAGAAAGCTTATATATCCCTTCATTAAACAAAATAGGGAACTGCATCTGATGGTGGTGGAATGAAATAAAAAAATTAAAAATACCTGTATTTACAGCAGCATTGATCCTTTATAAATAAAGAATATGAAAATGCAATTATCTTTAAGGATAATAAAAAATTGAGGTGATGTTACTCAACCACAGTGCTTGGAGTTGGAATAAAAATCTATTGGTGCTTGTTAATGTGACAGTAGTGAAACCACTTTCTGTTGGAGAAAATCCAACCGCAAATATGTGCATAAAACACATACAAAACAGGGCAAAATTGCTCAAAACAATTCAAGTCAGCTTATTTGTATTGGACATTCTAATCATGAAATACATTACAAAGACATCCTTGCAAAGAAAAAGTCAACATTTCTGGTTCATTTTTATATTTCCTCCCTTGAAAGTGGCATCTTAAAAATCTCTAACTCGTTCTTCCCTTGGTTTACAATCCTAATGAAAAAATGTGGAATTTTCCACATGATTACTTAATCGAAAAACAAAAACAGCAAAATGTTGAAGTTCAAAAAAAAAAAAAAAATACTGGGTGAGCAATGCTAAATTATCCACATCAAAACAAATGATCAGTTACCTTATAAGCCAATATGACATTTCATTGTCAACAATGTGAAAAACATCTGTTCTCAAACAGGCATGAGATGAAGAAGTGCTATTTTAAAATTGTAAAATGAACTTTTATAATGTAAAATATGTGATAATTTTTCACTCAAAATTGATAAATGATTTCAAACTCAAGGATCAAGGTTTGATTGCTAATAGTAATGCAACGTAATTTCATGAAAATTTTTAAATTTTGAAAAGGGAACCAAATTCCAATTTTTCTACCCCCGGTAAATGTCTCACAAATTACAAAGTAAAAACTAGCCAGTCACTAATGCAGAAACCATTACAATTTAAATAATGATATAATTTCTAGATTATCATTCAATATATTTCATAAGACAACTGTTGAATAAATTTTTTCTTTGAAGTACTGTTTTTCATGCTCAAACTACATAATCTTTTAATAATACCAACAGAACTCATATTAAACATTTATGTAATGCTGCATAATGAAGTGAAGTAGAACCCTGATATAAACATCCTCATTGAAATCATTTACTTCATCTGGTAGTGCCTGTTTGGAACCTATGATTTAAAACAAAAACAAAACTTCCTAGAGGTTGAATTCCCTAGAATGCAATTTCAGTGTTTGTCCATTATGTAGGTGGGGGAGGGGGAGTTTAGGCCTTTTCAGAGTTTTTGTTTTTTGCTCTGTTTTGAAACCCCTGAGACACCATCTGTTTCCAAAGCTTTCTCTTTTGAGTTAATTTCACTAAATCCATTTGCTGTCCCATTTTGTTCTTCAGTGTTTTCTTCATTTGTAGGGGAAGTTGATTCTCCTTTTTCTAATTTTTGTTGCATTTCACGGAGCTTAGTAACAGCTTTATCTATTGACATTATGCTAATAAGATTAAAGTCATGCATGCTGACTAGATGAAGCATGAAGTTTCGACATAAATTCTTCTTAATTATTTTCTGTCCATAGTTTTCTACAAACAGCATACAGGCATGATTCATTTGATTGTCAGCAATAAACCTATTTAATAAAAACAACACAAAACATCAACACAAAGCATTTTCTCATAACCACTGTAGTAAAGACTATCGAAATCCAGTGTTAATTTAACAAAGTATTGTGAAGCTGAGAATTATTCACCTGAATGTGCTTACCGTTTTAGACATTTTAAGAGATTTAATTTAACCAGAACTTACATAGATGTCCTTCACTTCCTAATGAAAACGAAAGCAATATTAAAGACATAAATAGCTACTAACTATCCCCTCTGGCTCTTTCGCTTCATCTTGACAAACTATTTTA